AATTCAATTGGCCAAAAACTCGTTAAACACACGGTCTCGTCATTAAATACTCAATTATAGCTTCTTCATTTTTTTGTTATTATATCATCATCATTACCATCAACATTTTTTAGTTTTCAGTTTTTATCTTAAACTATACTGCGTCTCTATAACATAGTTTTCTATATTTGATCCGTATCTGCAGTGATGAATTATAATTGTGTAAGAAATAATAAAACCCATTATTCAGCGAGCGTTTAAATTTGTATCCTTCAAACTATGTACTCATCCTAAAACATTCTTCACATAGGTATACACTTTAATTTTCATTTATTTCGTTATTTCAGTACATAGGTAGTAGGTACCTATAGATAGAATATGATATATATTTGGATTTATCTCACAATATAGGAAAAAACTAATTTCTTAGAAAACAGTAATAATTGTTTTTTCTCCTTTAATTATTTTTGTCATTGAAGGTGTTGTTTAATAATCACGTATTATACATACTGTCATACTGATATCAAAACAAATATTTTTTACGTGTATTGAATACCTTATATTACCTACCTATTATAAATGGAGTAAATAATAGATGTGAAACTATGTATAAAAGTACCTACCTTCATGAAACACTTATAGGTATATATATATTATTCGAATAAATGTCTTATTCAAATATAATGTTCACGAGTGAATAATTATATCTAATATTGCATAATTAAGTAGATATATTTTATATATATATATAGTAGAATTAATATAAAAATAAATTATCTGCATGCAGTATATAGGTGTAAGTATGAGTATAATTATTTAGTATATACATATTTATCATATTTATACATACTTTCTGCACATATAGTGTATAGACGAACAAGAATAAACACTAAGCAAAACGGTACAGCAGTTAATATTCGTTTTAAAATTTAAAAAATGCATTTTATAACGATTAAATTATTGAGTTAAGCTATATAGGTAACTAATATAATATAAACACTTAAATAGAATACATATAGCACCTACAGTGCACATACCACTTATATACACATAAATAACAAATATAGTGCATATGCGATAACTATATATGATTAAGAATATGTATAAAAGTCAGGGAACACTGTTTATATAGTTATATATATAGGCACATATATATTATATGATAATGGATATTAATATAAATAATATGCTAGTATATTAGTATGTATATTATAAGTCATAATATACTATACATTAGTATATTACCAATAAATTAGCATCCATTATTCATTTTAATTTTCTTATATTTTGTCGACTATAATGACTAATGATATGGTCGGTAAACCGAATGATAACAGATATAATAATTAAGCAGCGTAAATTACTATAAACATCGAGATTTTTGCGATAGTTGATATAACAAATGATTAATGGTGGTTTGTTTACGCCCAAAGAAAATAATATATGCCTCGCGTGAGCGTTTCTGTAACTTTAAATTAATTTGATGCAAAAATTCAAACATAGGTATTTAGCCATTTTGGTATGTATTTAATTGCCGGTCGTGGATCATATAAATTGCATTGTTTGTAAACTTGTAGTAGGTACCTACTGGCTACTGCAGTTTTTTCTATGATGGTTACGGTTTTTAACTAGTGTATATGTAGACCAATACCCAATAGTGAATTATAAAACAGTATATCACAAACCTATTTATATAATCATATCAAGAACATTCAATTATATATCTGCAACTGCAATTTTCTGTAATATAACGCTATACGCTATTTATGTTGATGATATTCATCTCAGTCGTACATTCTGAACTAATGTATATCGATCAGTGGATCACTTAAACACAATATACAAAGGCGAGGGTCTTTATATACACCTATATATATATATATATATAAGCATAAACATTAAACGTATTATTATACTATACATAATACAGCTATATTGTTTATTATCTAAACTGTTTGACTAAACATATTAACGTATAAATATGCTTAATATAAACACTTTATAGTACCTAATACCTACCACCTAGGTAGCACATATTTTATAGGCATAATATGCATATAATATATTATATATAAAAAGGTATATGCACGCTATCAGCGCCTAAGTTTTTTTATACATATATATGTACAAAAAAACTTTGGCGCGTGTAGGTACTTATAAGTACCTACACCTAAATAGGAGTTTAAGTGTTGGGATAATACATTTTTATATTTTGTTATAACGGTGTACATATTATGTATATTATATGCGCGTGTACAGTAGTTCGAGAGTATTGGAATCACTGGTGGTTGATCCTTATGTAAGGCCTTGCACAATTTTGTAAAATCCACATAGCTATATAAATTATAATATATACGTCTATATATAATAGATATATATATATGTACCTACATGCCAATATCTAAATCAAAATTATTATAGGTATAGGTATACATAATTACATCAAAAAGACAATACATTTCAATGCGCACGTTATTCTTATCCTTATATCTATAAATATGTATACCTACTATGTATATATTATATACCGAAGTGAGTAGTGACAATGTTCACTCTAATTCGCGTATTACGCAATATAATAATAGGTACACGTGTACATCAGCACGTGCTGCAAAATCGCGCTGCAGCTTATATAAACATAAACCGTATATAATGTACATTATATACCAGCAATATTATATAACAATTGGGCAGACCACCTACTAAGGGCGGTTTAATTTTCAGGGATGGGAACATGTGCAGCAGGGTTTTTCAAAATATATTTTTTTGAAGCGCATGGTATAAAAATTAAACAATTAAATATTGTTTATGATTTGTTTTAAATCTTTTATACACCTACTGATATAAGTAGATACCTTATATATTAGGTCCATGTAATTAACACGTTCATGGCCAAGTGTCACAAATATATGCTACATGGGGGTGTCTTTAGGTGGACCGGTGTCAAGTATTCAATATATATGTGACATGGTGAATATCGTTTTATATGGGATTGATTTTTACCGGTTTATTTTAACAAATATCAAGTTTCAGTGGTCTATTACCTATAACGATTTTTTTTTTTACAGCTGGTTCAAATTTTGGCGACCAGATAGTTATTATTTATATTTTTTAATTCTTGTTTATGTCAAAAGCCATTTTTTGCACGGTTTATTTAAAGAGCACTCGGATTTACTCTTGGTCGTGAACGTGTTAAAATAAAATCGGCGTATAGGTATGTCACTATAGTATACCTATATACTATAATATATTATGTCTATATTTAATTAAGGTACCTACCTATAGGTATGTATTGTTCTGTGGTTGATTATACCTATTCTCTTTAAGATCGCCCCATATCACGCAGAATTTCGCCAACATCTATTATAACACTCGTTAAACCTACAAGTAGAATATTATATACATTAGTACTATAATACGCAGTATGATTTAATATTATATAGTTAAATTTACCTAGAGGATATATTGAAATATTTAAAAATTATAACATTTATTCACAATATAAAATACGACATGTATAGTATAATAAAGAAGTCGCTCTAAACCTGTCCATATATTATAATATGATAATAATGTACCTATATATAGGTAGTAAACATAATATTATTATTTATATATAATATATGACGAGTGTATAATATACTGTACCCACAGTGTACCGCGTGACCGGATCCGTCCGAACGATTGACAGGCGGCGGCATCCGTCAAAAGCGTATAGGTATATCTAACTATGTTGTATGTACCTACATATAATAGGTATAGATATTAGATATTATTATGTGTATATATTTCATATAATATATAATAATATTTATAGCATAAAATAAAATACTTTATATTAACGCGTATATTATTATGCTATATACTACGAATGCATGCTCGGCCACAAGTACCTACGCGTTGAGTATTATTGCGTTATTATATATATATATATATATAGTATACTATATTGTGGTATAGGTACCTAGCTATACCTACCTATCTACCTGTAATATACCTAAGTACGAGTTTAATACATACACATGCGTTGTGTATATACCCCGGTATATATCTTATAATAATATGAAAATATACAGCGTCACCGCCCAGCGCGGCAAAATGTAAAATATCGATCGTCGACCGGGCGACACCGGCGCGGCGCCACTTTCGGTGCCGCGCGCCTCCTCGTATAATACACAGTGTCGGCGGGCCCAGCGTCGTCGTCGTCGCCGGTGGTGGCGGTGTCGTCGGCGGCGGTGGGGGCAAAGGAGCACCGCCGCGGTGGGGCGTGTTCCGGGCGCCCCTATTTAATTGCGGTTTACGCGCGGTCGGGTGGCGGGGAAACGCGACGACGACGCACGCCAAACGTGGGCGTGTCCGTCCATTGGCCGCCGGGACCCCGACAATCTCCGCCCACTTGTAGCGGGACGCCGCCGCCGCCGCCGACCGCCGTCCGCGTACAGTTGCTCCGATCGCGGTCCGGAACAGTCTACACACATTGCCCGTTACGATATAATCGCACCGCGGTCTCGCGCGACGTTGTATTTTGTTGTTATTTTCGTTTCGATCAACACAGTTTTTGATGTTTCGTTTTTTATCGGTTTTCGATTCTATTATGTTTTTCATTCGGTTTATTCTGTCGAACGCCGTCTTACACGCGCCGATTTGAAAAATGTACGATTTTCGTTGTCTTAGAAGCGATTGAAATCCGTGTTATCTATATTATATGATATAACACACTCATGCGTAATATAACATATTTTTTGATACAAAATTATACTATTATGACACACGTCGTAGAGTATCGTTGATTTTATACGTCGCCAACACTATTTTATTATAAGAACATAATATACCGAGTAATGGTCGAGACCAGAACACTAATAATATTATACTGACGGACGCCGAGCACGAGCACCACACACAATATTCACGCCACTTGCCGATCGCGGGTGACGACGTACTATAGGTATCATTATACCTTAATACAGTACGGAACATACGAAAAGCACTGAAAATAATCGGTTACACTCAACAACACCATGTTGGCCGACTATCCGATATCACGCGTACCCGGTGGACCGCTCTACAACACGTCTGTGGTAAGTTCACGACGAATTTATACCTTAACTATATATGATGGCTGTGTGATAATGAATAATTATAATGTTTCTCAGTTCTCTATATATACATTGTAAATATTATAATGTATGTGTCATATAATTAACTCAGAATAATACATTATTGGAAATCTACCTATATGATATTGTTACCCATGTAGGTACCTATTTCAAAACCGTTTTGGTCAATTTGATATATGATTTGCTATATACTTACCTTTATGTAGGTACCTATTACACGCTGACACGCTGTACATGACATAAAATCTTTCAATGCATAGTTTAAAATATCCGTTTGTTATTTATATATATTGGCACCTATAAAATAAGAGCAAGATAATACATCTACCTATATTAAAGTATAGATATAGTTAAGGGAATAGCTATATCTATACTTTACTTTACAGGATAGCTATTACAGATGCATTTTCCACGAGAATAGTACCTATAAGTACTTTTGTACTTAAATATACCTGGATAAATATATATTATAATTTATAATACCTATATTAACCATGGATGAATTTTTTTTTAAATATACCATCAGTAATGTTAAAACACCTATTTCAATTGACTTCTGTAGCCATCGAGTTGTTAACACATTTCGAGTGCACCTAGCATGTCCATTTACATTCACAGTAGCTTCATCATCTATAATACTTATACCTAAAGAGGAGTGTACCTACATGGCTACATGTATGAATATTTAAAAGAAAACCGCAGATAATCTAACGTTTTTGTTTTAAGCTTTTGCGTGTATATACATATACTGAATTGTAGCGTATCTAATCATTAATGTATATATAATATCTTTGTGTCTAATATATACCCACCTATACACATTTAATTAATTGAATACCAATGGAAAAATATATAATGAACTCATTTGAAAACTGAAAAGAGAGATAATTTTTTTGATTATATTCTTCATTATATTTAAGTGTTCTATGTGGTGTAGATACCTATATATCTGCACTATAAAACCACCATATAGTATTATATAGGGAATAGGGATAATATAAGATAGGTATGTATAGCTGATGTAATATTTACTTGGGAGTGTGGTGGTATATATTTTTTTAAATTATACCTATGTATATATAGATATAATATAGGTACATATGTTCTCAAAAAAAAAAAAAAAATAATAATAAGTAAATGTATTATACAACGACCGATATACCAGAGAAAAACAATAGGCGATTCGTGAAATATGTGTCAGAAAATATGACGCTTATAATGTGTTTTTATACTTGTAATGTATTCTGGGTCGGCATGGGTTCAAAGGGCTACTCGACGGGGGTGCGAATCGTAAAATGAGCCTCTAAAAATTATTGTATTTTCTGGTATACCTAAAAATCGCGGTGCGTATTATTATTATGATTATTATTGTCGTCTGCAAAGAAGCCGCCTTCTCACTTCTATTATATTTATATATAGTATATAAGTATATACGCAATATACTTACGCTATATATAGAAAAAGAGAGGGATTGGAGTTTTTGTCACATTCAAATCTTGGACTGGGTCTTATGTTATTTATTGGTTCCAATTATATACATGCGTTTATATAGATTGTTCTCACCCCAAATATATTTTTAAGGGTAGTCTGTTATATTATAAAATAAACGAGGATTTTTGCACGTGGAAACCTTACACTATATTGCAGCATATAATATGCTGTGTCATTTTCGTTTCTGGGAACACATTTAAATATTATAATATAGGTGTGAGTAAATACGAGTAATATTTTATAGAGAATGTGATGAATTTCATCGAACAATAAGTTTATCCTATTTATTTATTATCAATGTATGTTATATGTATAGTCACAATAAATTATCTTTATATTATTGCTGAAAAAAAACAGTTTACATAGGCGATGAACATTTGGTGAAGTGTACTATACAGTATAAGGGTCCAATATGGCAGTATAGGTGTATGACGAATTCAAGAGCTCAATTACCTACAACTTCCATGCATATTACCACTTTAATATACCTTAATATAATTTATGCCTACCATATTATTTTAATTGATGTGAAAGGGGTTGATTACATATTTAGAAACTAAAATATCTATCGTCCCAAAACACCCGTATATTATAGTAATGTTGTAGTTTTGGTACTGGTAATAATCCTATATATATTATATATTATTATATTATAGGTATTATAGTGTATTAAGTCAGGAAATAACTTGAATGTCATAAATCATGAGTATTTTTCGGTTTCTCTGTGTTTCATATTCCTTTTTCCCGTTTTACTTGAAACGCATTATAGGTACTTACCCTACATATGGTTACATATAATACCTATATATATTATTTGCGGCCACATAAATATTTAGTGGTGACACTTATACGCAAGAATATAGTCTAGTATACAAAACCACAAAAAGGGGTTTTACAAAAGACCTACAAAATCCTGGGTGCATACCACAAGTATGCGTATTTATATACATGTTTAGGATATTGCGTCCCGCTGATACTATATTCTGTCTCGACGGGTGTCGGCCGCCGGGTTTTAACCCTCTTCGAGATTCACTGCATGTGCGATTGTCCTCTTACACACTCACACATATATATATACATAGGCTCTTAGTCGGCATGGACGTTGGTCAACGTGTCATCGTGGGAAAGGGTCCAAGAAACGGTTTTTGTGTGGAAAGGACAGAAAAAAATATCGCTACTGTAGACCGACCGACCATAAATTTTCAGTCAGATTGAATGAAAAAATAAAAACGTTTTAAAAATATATAATGCGTTATATATAAAGGAACTGTTAATATAACGGAAAAAAGATACATAAATATAGTATGTGCGCAGGTAACGGGTTTTTCGGAAGCAGTGGGTGTCGACCGTTGACTGGCATTATAGCCTTTATTATTATTATTATTTTTTTTTACCTATAGAAAGATCTTAACCTGCCGAGTCAACCCTGTTTTTGAGTATGAACTATATAATAAAATATTACATTTTAACGCGGGGAAGAATGGGCATAGGTATACAATAGGTACCTATATATACAGTGCACTTCCTTGAATATGTATATTATAAATATTATGTCATCAGTTAGAATGATATAGAACGTGGGAGGTTAATACCTATATAAATATTGGTACCTATATATTGTATAGTTAGGTATACAACTTCAATGTCATAGGTACTATTTGGGTTCGTATACTTACCCGTAGGCTGTACTTTATATAACATATTTATATATTTCATCTTGTTATATATAAGCAATAAGCATCGTAAAACATTTATATAAGACTATATAATTCTCCACACCTAAACAGTTTGATATCTATTATACCCCATACGAGTATAATATATGACTTTACCTAATATCCTAGGCCTACTAACTCTAACGTCCGCACATTGAAGTATATTTATTAAATACCTATAGGAATAATATAATATAATAGTACCTAAGGTGTACCTACGAATATTATAATGAAACTTATATCAGTCGTTGAGTTCATTTGATATACCGCTGCTGCAGGTTTAAATTGAGGGTTCTATGATGTATAAGTACATATATTATATAATATATAAATTGTTTATTACGGTGGTTAAACAACCTTCATGCGTAGATAAGATATTTGCCAGTTTACTACAATTGGATAAATACGAATGACTGCAGTTGAATTATTTTCTACCATTATATAGGTATGCGCATATCAACGTTCGACATAATACATTAGTTTATGCACACAAACGTTGGCTATATGAGTGTTAAACAAAACTTGCGTATACCTACTCTATGATTATAAGCACATTACAAGTAGAATATTATATATATATGCGTATCGTGTATGTTTTTTTTTCAATTTAAATATATTCACGTTAGATATCCTTGGACGCGCCTAATGACTTATACATAATATGAGCCAACAATTTAGATTAACGTTAATAATGTATTCACACGTTACCTAATATCATTGTTACAATAAGTTAACTTATTAAAGTATTATTCAGTGTAGCGAATAATTTTCATAAATACCTTAAAGATCAGATCATTCGACATTCATATTATGATTGTTATTCATCCAACTCCAAGGATGATGATTAAGTATAGGTAGTGTAGACGTACCAATATGATATACCTATTGCCTATATAGTATACTAAGGTACTAAAGGTTTTAGAAATTGTTGACACTTATTGGCAAAATAAATAGTTAAACATTGTACCTACATATGTATTTATAGGTTAACTAGTTATGTTAGCAGGTTTAATTAACAATTACATGGTACGTAATAGGTTAATGCAAGTTAATGCAATAATAATATATATATATTTATGGTAAAATTGATTTTATATTATATAGGTAAATTATGAATTTGATCAACTATACATTTCTATGTCACGAAATAATAAAATCAATAAAAGTTGTAAAGGACATAGGTATATCTTTATAATTCAAGTATATGTTTAGGTAGTAAGTAGTAAATATTATACATATTGCAAATAGTTACCTACTTATAACATTTTATATTTAATGAGTCAATATAATTATCGTATTCATAAAACTTAAAAAATTGTTTATAATTTTATAATTTCAGAAAAGTTTAATTACAAATTGTATTATGTAAAAAATAATTAGTAGAGCAAGGACATTGCATGCGTTCATGTATTTGCATATTTTGTCATTTTTTTTTTTTTTTTTGAGTTTTTAGGGCATATTCATGATTTTAAGGTCATATTTCTATTTTTTAGGCCATATTCTTAAATTTGTTCCTATACTACATTTTTTTTCAATCCAGATTATATTTGAATAATAATTATGGCTTCAAAAAAATCAAATCATTCTCATTGAATCGAATCAAAAGGATTTTTAGATAGCTACCTAATATACAAAATAGCTTCAAAATATATGACAAATTAAGTTTTTAGTTTAAAAACTACTTCTTTAATAATACCATTTTGAATAAAATATGTTGTCAAGTATAATTGAGATGTAGGTATTAGTTTATAACATGATTATTATATCTGATTTAATATGGTTATAGTGTCGTAGCGGCATTAGAATATTATATGGGTTTTTATAGTGAATGCAAATTGAGAAAAATCTTGCTCCAATTATAAAATACTTACCTAGGTATAGGTATAATTTATATGTAAATTATTTATTGTTCATATAAGAAATTAATAATTAGCTATTATAGGTAACAGTATATGGGTGTTATTTCTTTTTTTATATCTATTTACTAATTATTTCGATTTATAGGTATAGCTATACACCAACTGAGGAAAAATTAAAAAATAACATATACCTAATAATACATTAGTTTTTAATATTTGTATAATTTAAAAAAAAATCAAACTCTTATATTTATATCTCAACGCGCAATCGACGCCGTCGTTTTAATATATAATATAATACGATAATATTACTTGGTAGTTATATGTATAATATAAAAAGCAAACCGTCAGAAATCGTTGCGGCCTCCGGACACAATAATATTATTATATCCATTGCTGGCTGATTACGCCGACACGATTTCAGACCTTGAGGGGCTGCTAATTCCCTCGATGGCCTATTGTTCAGGCCTTTGATTTTTCTTTCTTTCTTCTTTATTTTTTTTAAATTTTTTATTTTATACACTTACTCGTACAATATTATATACACATTATACATATCTTTTTATTTTTTTTTTCTACATGCGCCTCATTGTTGACGGAACGTGCGCGTTCACTAGAGACGGGTTTCGAACCGCTATCAAAATAAATTGCGGTCAATAAAGACTGGAACACGGGAAACGGTGGTGGCTGCACGCGATTTTAATTCACTTTGTATGGAGAAGAAATCTGCCCCTTTTCATTCTGTTGACGTTTCGCCCGTCAAACCGTTTGACACTTGAATGCGACGGTGCAGTGCACGCGGAATCGTCTCTTTTGAACAAAAAAAAAAAAAAAGAGAAGAAATAATAATATATATAATACAATATAATGTAACCGCAAAAAGACTCGAATGAGATTTGACAGAATATTAAGGTCATCTTGCTCCTCTTTGAAGTGATTTCGTGAATTCCGAAATTGCAGATAAAAACCCTGCAGGCTGTGTATCAATACATATAATAGGTATAATACTTGACTGTGGTTATGTGCAGTTATGTTTCGAGTGCACTATTAATAACTATTATAGGTAATAAGTAATAATATATGACTAATGCAGTTTTGCAACACATATTTTCATGAACCTATACTATTAGCTATTAAATAATATTATATTTGTAGGCAAATTTTTGCTACAATAATACAATATAATATACCTATATAATATGTTTGGTATAATTGTTGGTTTTTAATCTGTCAATCAATCGATATTCGATATAATATTTTGTTTTGTATTTCGTTATTGTTATTGTTGTAACGACTATTTACGCATGGTACATGTGTGATGTGTGTTTGCATGTCTGTTGGCTATACACCGTGGGAAATCGCCTGGGGATTAATTGTTTTTAATAAACCGATTGAAGAATATATACCTTAATCATTTCGATGATGCGTATGCGCGGTAGGACTTCATTCATAATAATGTTATATATATTTAAATAACAACTGAATCGGCCCCGAGGACATAATTAACCACGTTTTCTTATTAAAACTCGATATTTAAGTTCAACCCCATTTATAATATATGACCAGATGACTTGTATGGATGTTTCGTCAGTCGCTTCTGTTTTTCTTGTTTCTCGTTTTTTTTTTCATTTATATTTTAATGCTGCCGGTCATAACTATACACATATAGTAAGTAGGTACATCACGTTAGAATTGAAACCAATATTAATAACTCAAAATATAATTAGAAAAAACTTAAAAATGACTCCAGGCGGTTGTGTGTGAATGATAAATATTAATATAAATGTATATTGTATAATATATAAATATATATAATATATGTACACAATGAATATTTGCACTTGTTACAACCCATTAAAAAATATATAAAATGCTACTGTATAATATTGTTTCTACGCATATGTCCTTAAGCGACCGTTGTTTTATTTTTCTACGTTGAAGAACTAATTAAAAAATAAATATCCTTATCCATACCAGTTCTCACTCCCCGCCATAATTTCTCACGTGATCGGCCCACGGTGAGCCTTTTATACATATATATATATACACATCTGCTCGGGTACAATAATATTATTCACGAGGTGTAGCGGATGATTCGTATTATGATGTGTTATATTACGTTTTATTACTATGTATACAATATATTTTATATTGTTGAAAATGTGCAATTGGCAATTGTTATTTTGATGGTCAGTTGTTATTATAGTGCCAGTCTCTCTTATATAGCATATACCTACGCATTCAACATAAATCTGACGTTCTCAAGCTGTGCACGTGAACCCAGATCACTTTAAGTAGACGTTTCGATCCAATAAATATATTTATACGTGTTGTATGTGTCTGAGCCCGTGAGCGGCAGATTTCGAGTGATTGAAAATGGAATTTGAAAAAAAAGCATTTTATTTTCGGACCACGCGTAAATCGGTAGCCCAGCCGAAGAAAATAAATAGCCGACGAACTACTCGATATAAACTCTATACCTACCTACCTACGATATTACACATCTCACACACGCGTATATATCATTATTATTATTTAATATTATACACCAACGTCTTCGGCGGAGAGATAGCGACTAATGCTGGACGAAAGGATTTATGACATGCGTTTTGTCCGAAACACATGTTTTTTAGCTAAAGGCGGTATATCGTCGTCGAGATAGTAGTTGTGAGCCCCCATTATTGTGTATACTTTATATGTATGTACGCGTACCTATATGCGTTAACTTTGATGGTGTGCCGTCAAATTATTCATGTGTAAAATATGTATATTACGCCCGGAGGATGTATTAATGAACCCGTTTTTTGGGACGACCTTCGTTTAACGGCACGGCCGCCGCTCTTGGTCGTTGTCGCGTTTCCGAAAGACGCTTAGCTGTCGCCAATGTCGTCACTAGGTGAATTTTTTAAATGCATATACATAATATTATTATAATTCAAGTGCAAGGATGAGTGATCTATATAGAGATAAAAATATGTGTATATATTTCCAGGAATAATGATTGAAAACATTTTATACTTTCATATATTATGTTGCAGAATAATATATTTATTACGCAACGTTTTTTATAATATAATAATATGTTTAACACTGTAATATAATATGTATATTGTATATTATGATACACGGATTGTCTTATTCGACACAAACACCGTTAGATTCGTTCGAAGAATGCATTTTCTGAAAATTCACATGTTGACACAAATACTTTATATTTATATATTTATATTATATTACGATATGTCCATATATTACATATTATGTATTATAGTATTCATTATGCACTTCGCTAATCGTTTTATTATTCGATGTGTGTTTACAGGTTCCCGATTTCCAAAGCGCTCTAACTGGCAAATCTTGCAATGAAGGATGGCCCACCGAACAAGAGATAATGGTGAGTAGCCCCTTTCCTCGTATATACATTTTTTGTTTTTAATTTAGCCGCCGTTTTTCGATTAGGCTGCCGGTAGAAAATGGATTTTAAACGCGTATACCCATCACTAAGAGCCCCGGGCTTGTATAATGAGAGTAGTAAAAACACTCTGTACGCATTATATATTATATTATACATGTTATATATATGTTGTATAGAGAGACAGAAAAAGAAAATTATAAAAACCGCTTCATCACGGACTGTCGGTGTCGAATCTTTGAACCCTACATGACATGTGGCGCCACCTAATCTGGTGATGTTATAACAGAATGGAAGAAGCCATTCTACAAGTAAATAATAACTTTAAAAAAAAATGACGATAGAATCTCCTCCTTCACGTCTACAAAGTACTAACAGTAGGTAACTATATACATAATGTATATATAATATAGATGTACCTATGACATAGTATAGTACCGTAATATTCCACTGTCATTTTGTTGGTATAAAAAGTTATGGGTGACGCGTATTTAAGATACATAATGTATAGAAAATATTTGATTATTATTTGTTTCGCAAAAATGAAATTGTTTTTAAAATTCTTATAGGTAGGCACATCATATTATATGATATTGTTTCGTTTAATTGGTAAACATTAAAAACATACCTATTAAACAATATATTGTTGTAGCACAACATATTATATGTTCTTTTATGTTATCGTGCGTTTATAACTCTGCCTTGAACTACGTGTTACTGCAGTCACTGGTCAGTAAAATATAGTGAACACCGAGCGTATTAATAAAAAACAAACTAATATTAATTACGCTTATATATACATATAGTAATTACGCCTCTCTTTACTAGTGGCTTGACGTGCAGATCCCTCATCTCTATGATATTTCCCATTAAATAAAAATTATCAAACAAAATTTAAAATACATTATTTGATCCTTAAAAATTTGAAATTTTCACGACCAGTTTTGGGGAGGAATATCATTATATTGTTATAACTTATAACTTATAACATTATGAAGAAACGTACCTATATGGCGACTAAAAACATTTTGTGCTAATTGACTTTTTATCGGTTGGTATGTATCGTTCGTTTGTTCCATTCACAATAGTAAATAAAAAAAAATCGTCTTATTGAATTTCATTTTTTTTTTTATTATTATCATTATTCACTCTCTATACACTTTTGCTTGCCGCCACAAACCGCACACTCATCGTCATTAAAACGAGCACACATTGATAAAAAGAGTAAAAAAGTGTGTATATAATTAATTTTATGACGTCGTCAGATATAACGTTGACTAATGGCGCGGCTTATCTCGTGATCTTTTTGTTAGTTAAAAGAATATAAACAAGGTGTGCCTTCTTCTTCTAGCACCTATGGGCCTCAGGAACTAACGGGTTCCTGTTCGTATATATCTATGCTCTACTGCAGCAGTATATATACACACACATATACGATGTACATACAAACATACATACATACATACATAGACGTATATATTATACTATACATATATATGGACGGAAACGAGAGTTGAATGTATCGAGTTTTTCACTAATTCTTTGAGTTCGTTTTACATTAATTTTTTTTTTTTTTTTATAAATTTGTTACATTCTAAAATTATCATATAACTTGCGTGGGCTGCGTTCACGTCGTACCTATATAACGCCGAGCGAGTAACTTTGGACGGTTAACGCATAAAAACAGTCTTATTAAAAATACGTAAATATGCGATATTGTAATTAGCCGCGTGTTATAAATACCACGAGCATATATTCTACATAATAATAATGTATACTAGTATACTCAGTTGGTACCTACGTGAAACAATTTTGTATTATATATTAGTTTATTATACGCCATGCGTGCGCGTACCTATGTATACCTTCATATAATTCAAATAAACCACCGACGGAGGTACTTTTATTTACCTCGAAATCCACTCGGTATAAATTTCGTAGTACCTATATATTCGAACCCCTCTGCACATCAAATAATATGTATGAACGCATATTATGGTTAGGTTATATACTTATATATTTTATAATATTTACGTGTTATATAGGGTGTATACCGATGGTATATAGCATAAATTTGACAATTTTAAAAATAGATAGGTATTGCAATCGAATGCGTCGAATCCATATAATATACACAATATACCCTGCATAAAACATATTTTGTATCCCGCTCAGTCCGGTTGAATATAAAGCGTGGAACAAATTTGTCGAATCGCATATATTCGATTAAGAAAAACGTCATTGTACGATTTTTGAGAGCGTGACAGGTGTATGTATAGGATTTTACCTTTCGGACAATGTGACATTATTACTATTATTATTGGACGGCGGCTGCTCGTTCCGAATTTTATTGAAATGTTTACGTTTCCGTGGTGACAATAACGCGAATATCCGGTGTCTGGTTACGCGTCTGTTTCTTTTTTCTTCGTTAAATTTATTTTTGACCTTGCTGATTTCCCGATGATCATTTTTATCCCTCCACCGTTTTTCCTATCTTGTCCTGGCAATCCAGTCGACAAATGCCACATAGATGACGACGATAATAAAACATAATATATAGGTATCACTGTAATGTCCTCCGGCCCTCAGCCTAACCAGTGCGTTTATATACCTACATCTTGTCTAAATAGTATATGTATATATATATAATATTATGTATGTACATAAGACGGCAACCGTCTCTCTAATTCCTAGCACGATTTATGTGTAAATCGCCAACAAGTTGGTTTAAAACAATATAATAACAATGAATGGAAAATAATTACGAATTTCGTAAATCAGCGATTATCTACGGTAGAGGTTATTTCTGAATATACATGCACTGCAGGGTAAAATATGTCGTTTTTAAAATTGTGTAGTTTCGCATGACATTCGTGAATCGTGATGATCAATAATAACATAATATAATATAATCACAGGGGCGCTGGACGAATGAATGGGTTGTCAAATTCGCTTGAGTGCGTTATTTTTATTCGTTGGCCGAGTAGTATAATATTTTATTGGGGTTCTAATGTGACAGCACTTTGTGTGTATAACGATCACAAGTGACGGTTGATGTCCAACGTCCGTCGGTGAAGACTGCCATTGAAAATCGTATTATTTTTTTTCGGCATGTTTGCACGTCGACCCAAATTAATAATATTATGATAATACTGCAGTTATTAATATAATATTATTGTAAGTCAATGGTGTTTTGCATTAATTTACATTGATAATAATTGCTGCAGACTGCGTAACGTTTTTATTTAATTACATGCTAATTAGATTTAAATTAATAAACACATTTTGCATTTTTGTTTATTACGGCCGATGCAATATATATCCTTCAAATATGAGTATACGATCAATAATTTTATCTACAAAATATACCTATGTGTGTGTCATATAATTAATTTTAACACGTCACAAGAATATATATTTAAATAATTATATATATGCATATTATCCATTTACATGTAGATATAGCAAAATTGTAACCTTATGACACATAGTAAAATATTCCAAGACTGGTTTTACATTATATTTGCGTGATTTTTTAAGTTTTTCGAATATTTTTACACAATAATATTATAATGTTATGCATAATTATTGTTTATTAATAGTTCATTAATATATTTTGAGGTTATTGTGTGCATATAATATAGCACTGCAGTCTGCAGAAGATGAGAGGATGTCATTGATGAATATGTACTTAAATCCCATTGAAATATATGTAGTACATTGCCAATCGTCCATACATAATAATATAATAATTTCAGAATTTTTATGAATGAATGGTCGTGACGAATACTGCAGTCTCAGTATAATAATAATAACAATACTGAGATTACTATATAATAATAATACTCGTACCCACTCACCTATACTGCTTTATGTTAACGTTGTGTTACACTCGAAGAAGTGTTCGTTAAAAACCATTGAACAGATCTCTGAGATTGTTAAATATTTTTGCAGGTATTTAGTAATAATTGTTAAAAAAAAAATTTGATTCATTTGTCATTTTTAAATTATTACAATCGACGCTTTTCAATATATTATATTACATTGTATGTATGACTTCATTCTTTGTTGCCTTTGAGGAATATAATACCTCGTATAATATATTATCATTATAGCCTGTCAACGACTCCAACATATAATATCGGATCGTAACATTTTTGACTCTACCTATATTATGAAATGGCTATATTATAGACGTCACGATGATATTTAGGACCATTTGCTACACTTAGGAATTTAAATCGATTATCGATGTGTTTCACCGTCTCTATATTATATAATTCGGTGCAAGACTCTTTCTCTATATTATAATATAATTGTCTACACCGCACGCCCGCTTAGATTTGATCCTGCAGCAGTCGTCTTGTCGATTATTTGAGTTCTACCTATATATTATGCTGCATAATATAGGCGCATGCTATGCACCTAAATATAGATATACCTGCAGTAGGTAAAACTCGATCACGTATACATATATATAACGTGTTTTTAGTTGTCAGTCGGTAGTACCTATATTATTTCCACAGAGCCTTATTATGGAAAAATATGATAATGATTCGATCCACAAAAATAATAATACCCGACGGTTCTCTTCTGTCGTGCAGCGTCCGATATTTGTTGGTTCCTATAATACATACATATTAATACGAGAACGAAGACGGTGGTTAAAATATTATTGTATAGACGTCGTCGCCCGTCGGGTCTATATTACCAGCTATAGGTACCCATTGGCTATCAAATATTGAGATCGGATTCAGATGTCGTTTTTATTATTTTTTTTTTTGTAATAATTTAAAAACCTAATTTATTTAAAACTGCTTACAAAAATATAAATACGAACACATATTATATAGGTAGAGGTCCACACACATGTATGGACGTATGGTCTACATAATATTCTTCCAAACACGTTATGACCGCGCAGACAGCCGTTGGGCGCATTCGCGCTCTGCATTGTACATATTACATAGATATAATATACGCATATTCGTAAATTATGTGTGTTGTGTGTATATATAATATCATAACTGTTAAATAGAAATTGAAATGAGGAAGTGTGTGGGGTGGTCGACTTGCGTGCGATGTTAATCACGCGGCGCAAGCGCAATCGCTAGAAAAATGAGATCCGTCATTTGCGGATGTGGAGACTTAGACGAGTCGCACTTAGATTAACTTAAACGTCGCCGCGGTGTCGTATACGTATAATAATATTACTATTTCAGGGAACTAGTTTAGAATGCGTCGGTCGAAAGAAATTAGTAAATATTTATATGGGTCAACCATGTACGATGTACGACGTATACAGTGTATAATAATATGATACGATTTACAATTATTTTAAACCGCGCCATAATACATTATTGCATTCGTTAAAATTACATATACGAATGTAATATTATTAATCATTATCTACTATTAAAATACATGGTAATGTAAATGTATTGATAATTGATGTATTGAGTAGCTGGTACAATTTGAAACGTGCGGATTGTTGCACCACGCAACAAAAAATGTGATTGGTTTTGGCATTTGTCTTGCATATAATATATCAAAGGTACTATATTATTACTGTATACCGAATACCGATTGTCGTGAAACAATTGCTGTGATCTGGTTCGATTATTTGTCTAGTATTATATTGGTATACCTATGGGGTCGACTATGCAGCAGCCCGTCGTACGAATATAATGTTCGCTGCAATAGCCTAGCTATACATATAATATGTAAATCTCGTTTCGTCCGACAAACTGGTTTTGAATATTATTATACATATACGATCGCTTCACACGCCACGTGCACCGCGTATATTATATGTATAGTTTTATCGTAATTAATTTCGAACAACTGCTGAACTGCGTATAAGCATTTCTACGTATAAATATTAATATTTTACCAGCCCGTATGATAATACGCTGTTGCAGCTATATTATAATATTATTATTATGATTATTAATATTATAATATTATTATTATGATTATTAATATTATAGTATTCGAATCGCGACTATAATATTATATACGACTCGTGATTATTATTTTTTCGGTCGATATGGTTTCTGTATAGGTACCAGCTATTTATTTATTGTAAATTTTTTTTCTCATTTGAACAATATAAATAATTACCAACCATTGAAACGCTTACCAGTTATACTGCACAAAATATTATTATAATAACACAGTCCAATATACTAATCGTCACCGGGGGACGAAGTGGCAGAGAGGTCTAAGGCGTCGGTTGCGACGCTGCCGGCGCCGGTTCGATCCCGTGGTCACGGGTGGCATTTTTCTTCGGGCAAGTCACGGTGTCCGGAGAACAAATGCCGCCATCCCCCACCCGGGCATGACAGATACCTACGGGTGCCCAAATCGAAAATTCTGCCAAAACCCACACGTGTTAACAACCTACAGTTCCCCCCCTACAGTACCACAGGCTAATGATCTTTGTTGTCGAAGCCTCAACCCTAATAAAAAAAAAAAAACAAATCGTCACCGCATTTAAACCACTTCACGCATTTTGCATGGCGGATGTCACTTCGATGACACGCATTATTTCCGTGTTTTTACACGTATAATAATATAGATAATTTCTAGACTAGTCGAAACCATAAATCAATACTTAAAGACGTTGATATTGGTTTTTGATCCATTTTAATCTCGTTTGCGTTGAAGTGGTACTGAATCGTTTTACACACACGGCCATCTAATAACCACGCGAAACATATAAGTATCCGTCGAAATTTCTAACCTGACGCTTTTAAATTTGTTTCAGGAACATCCAGGCCTGAGAAACACTCCACTGGCCATGTTAGCGGCTCAGTGCAACAAGTTACAGAGTAAATCGCCGCCGCCACTCGCTGACGCGGCCGTGGGCAAAGGGTTTTATCCGTGGAAAAAGAGTCCACAACAGCAGTCCACTGACATGTCCGGTTCGCCGCTGCAACAGCAGCAGCAGCAACAACAACAGCAGCAGCAACAGCAACAACAGCAACAGCAGCAACAGCAACAGTGCCAACAGCAACAGCGGACGTCGTCCAGTGCTGCGGAATCGCCCAGGCCCGTGGTCACTTCCACGTCGTCGGCTCCGTCCACGCCGGTGCCGACCGGCGCCGGTTACCCGCCTCCGCCTCCTCCGCACCATGGCAACATCTACTTCGGCGGCGGAAGTGGTGGCCACCAGACGCTGGCCGCTGACAACAACGGCCACCACCATCACCACCAGAGCCCGTTGCTGGGCAAGGTGGACAACCACAGCGCGCTGTATGGCCGCCACCCGTACGAGTGGCCATTCAATTCGATGGGCACCGCCGGACACCACGCACCCGCCATCAAGACGGAGTCCGTGAATCCCGCTTGGTGGGACGTGCACGGGAGTGGATGGCTGGACATGAGTGGAGGTAAATATTATGTGCATATTTATCATACGATATATTATTATTGCTTATTATTAGTCTATACGATGATGCGATGAAGCATTATAATAATAATATATTATAATGATAACATACGCACGTCGTACATTGTAACGGCATCGTGTATACCTAAGATACGAATTAATATAAAAAATCCGCTCGCGATTAAAAAATTAAAATTAAAAATCGAAATTAAAATAATCGTCGGTATATATAGGTAATTCGTTTTCGAAACACTGCTGGTTCGGCCGAGTACTTATAAACATACACACACGTCACACATACGAGGTCGATGAAATCGTGATCCGCTACTATATATTATATACCTACATAATATATTATAATATGCATATATATATTGTATACGATATTTCGTCGTATAAATGATTCCTTTCACATTTCATAATAGCGCGCATACCTTATATACACTGTGCAACATTACTGTATAATTCGAATATCGAAATTTTTTATTCCGGGCGTTTAGTACGTGCGACTTATTTGCGTACCTATATTATACCTGTATGGTACGTGATTTATGAAATATTTCATATCTTATTTGGACGCTTATAAAACGCGTCTATTTACGTAGTTTATACCAATATGGAGATAGTTATATTATGGAATATTTAACAGCGATAATAATAATAAATCATATAACTAAAATACAAACCGGTGTATAATCGCCCGGACGATTATTATTCTTGTACAATACATTATTATCGACGAGTTTTGATTATTTTGGTATTTTTTGTTTTTTGGTTTCCACGCAGGCATGCACGCGCAGATGGCCAATTACGCGGCGCAGTCGGACTACTCGTCGTTGAGCCACTCGCTGGCCGCGTCCAACACGGCGGCCGCTCACCACCTGTTCTCCAATCAACACTTCTTGCAGGACACGTACAAGTCCATACTGCCGGGCGCCCAGGGTTCGTTCGGCCTGGGCCACCACCACCACCATCACCCGTCCGTCGTCACGTCCTCTTCGTCCTCGTCGTCGGCCACTTCACCGGGTTCGGCTTCCGCGGCCGCCGCAGCCGCAGCCGCCGCGGCCGCCGTGTCAGCGGCTTACAGCTCGGCGCCCCAGACGCCGTCCCCGCGCACACAGCGCAGGTACACCGGACGGGCCACTTGCGACTGTCCCAACTGCCAGGAAGCCGAACGGCTTGGTCCAGCCGGTGGCCACCTCAAGAAGAACGTGCACAGTTGCCACATACCCGGTTGCGGTAAAGTCTACGGCAAGACGTCCCATCTCAAGGCCCACCTCCGATGGCACACGGGTGAGAGGCCGTTCGTGTGCAACTGGCTGTTCTGCGGCAAGCGGTTCACGCGGTCCGACGAGTTACAGCGACACTTGCGCACGCACACCGGCGAGAAGCGTTTCGCGTGCCCCGTGTGCAACAAGCGGTTCATGCGGTCCGACCACCTGGCCAAGCACGTCAAAACGCACAACGGAAACGGTGGCAGCAAGAAGGGCAGCAGTGATTCGTGTTCCGATTCGGAGAACAGCCAAAGCGCGGCCGACGGTTCGTCTCCGCACAACCAGCACCAGCAACAGCAGCAGCAGCAGCAGCAGCAACATCAGCAACAGCAACAGCAGCAACAACAGCAGCAACAGCAACAACAACAGCAACAGCACCAGCAGCACGTGCAACCGTTGCACATGGCCGACATGGTGGACGTGAAACCACCGTTGCCCCTGGGCGGACCGGCCGGTCTGGTCCGGTGGAGCCCGGTAGTCAGTTCCGTGGGTTCTGTTGTGCCGCTGTCGCCACCGTCGTCGCACGCCATCGGGCCGTCACCGTTCCTGTCCGTGCAACAGCAGCACAACAACAACAAGGAACAGAAGAGCTTCTGCTGGACGAATACCGCCGGCAAAGAGCCGAAAATGTACCAGGAGAAACTGGAATGAGCGTCGCCCCCGCCGGTGCAACTGCCACCGCCGCCGACTGTCGCGTTCGGCGGCGGCGGCGACCGCGGCACCGGCGGTGGTGCTACGACGCCCGGCCCACAGTTGTTTTCTAGTCTCCAGTATAAAAACGGACTCCAGCAGCAGCACGACCAGCAGCCGCAGCAGCATCATAACCAACATCATCATCATCATCATCACCACCTCCAGCAGCAGCAGCATCAGCAACAGCTGCACGAGCAGCATCAACATCACCAGCAGTACCTGCAGCAGCATCATCATCAGCACGGCAGCAACCTGGTCACGCATTACGCGGCCCTCGGCAGTGCGTTTTACACGTACTGACGCGCTACGAACGGAAGAAGCGGTAAATTTGTGCGGTAAATCTTTACTCATATATATATATATACCTACTGTGTACGACATTATACAAATTACAGACGTTTTATTTTCCACTTTTTTAACACTCGCGGCGTGTTTTTTAACGTATATATTATAATCTCTATATATAACTGCGTGTCGCCACTTTGTACATAAAATATTATTATTATTATTATTATTATTATATAATTCATTATTTTTATGTGTACATATATATACTGTATTATATCTGTGTACATAATTTAATGTTTTACTGTGAAAAAAATACAAAAAAAAAAATCTTATTATTATTATATATTATTAACGTTTTTATTAGTGTTTAACCCGACGAAGTATTTTGTCCGCTTAACGCGCATAGGGTATAATGAAGTTGAAAAAAAAATCTTATATCATAATATTGTGTACTTACCTATGTTCAAACGATTAAAACAATTTTTTTTTTTTATTATTAAATACACCGCGGTTTACCTATAAATACGTGTCCGGCGACCGATGAGTGTCCCGTTGAACCGCAGCCGCTTTTGTACTTATATAATATTATATTATAGACTCCGTTATCGATTTACTCAACTCACAACAAAATATGATAAACATATCATATTATATTGTAAATATGGTTGTTTATATGCGTAAGAACCTGGTACGGATACAAAAAAAATGTTCAACGTTTCTATATATATTATAATATATTATATTATATAAGTACTGTATTTTTTATTACCTATATATATAATATACATATATTATATGCGTATTGATAATTATACGAAATAAATTATAATTTTTTTTGTTGTCTCATATAATTGGAATTTTTTTTCTCTCTCCTCCGTCCTCACCTATAATATAATAGGTATATATATGAAGGTTCAAAACTGCAAACACATAATGTCATGCGGCGACATTGTATTATAAATATTGTCTACATATATATATAAGGTACTTAGCTACCTATATATCTAATATCTATAGATACCTGGTATACCCGCACCTAGCTATATAATATACGAAACATCTACAATATACTTGGGTCCCCAGTTATTATCGTGTATATATGTATTATATTATAACATATAATGACTATATATGTATACACGCGGGTGTTTTGGTGTATATAGGTGGTTGGTATTTTTATTTTATTTTTTATCGCCTTTCCGTGCCCGCAGCCATTGTGGTTTTTCGAACGAAATTAAAAAACCTTGACGACGAAAAGCCAAACACACGACACTACTATACCACCGCCGGGCCGAGCTCCGCAGTGTTAATATACGCATATTATACGATTATGCTGACAAGTATATTATATCATATTCGTGTCGTATATCGTGTGCAGTGGCGTATATAATACTATACATTGTAGCTGTGTGTACAGTAAGCTACCTAAGTGTGAGTACTTGCAGGGTGACACGCTATATAATTGCGGTGCAGTAACGATTGAGCGCGTCCGATACTTATTTTATAAGATTTATATTTTTATGGAAACAGCGATCGACGACGTGTCGAAAAATCCGGTAAAATACGATTGAGGGAATGGAATTTTCAACAATGGACAGACACCGATAGTTTTATAATACAACGTCTTTCTCCGACTGTTCACTTGCATGTATTATAATATTTAAGTAATTTTGCATTTTTATCGAACGACAGCAGCAGAGCACGACGTTTGCATGTCGTTCGGCAGATAAACGGCCAATAAAATCAATAAATTCGAAATGTTTGATTTACGTTTTAATTTAAAAAGTTTGATGACCAGCTGGATAGAAAAGCGGCTCGAGACGTTTTTCTGACTACAATTTTTTGAGTCATAAACAAGTGGAAGGTGTGTTTTTAGAGTTGATGAGAGTTACGGCGCGGAGGTGGAACATGCGGGAAAAAAATAATTAGCTATTTTCTATTTAAGCATATATAAAATGACAAAATTGAAAAAAAGTAAACATTAAAAATATATATAATATGTGGTACCTACGAAATGTTGTTAATTTATTAAGCAACTAGAATTTTCAGCTTTATAGAAGGTAAGGAACTTATATTTATTAACTCATTATTTATGCAGCCTTATTTGTTATAAGGTAAATGGTTATACTATTATTAAAATGTATGACATGACTTTGAACATTTTTATTTATATATACAGTAAAACTTCCGTATTACAAAGACTCATATGGGCGAAAAAAAATCGTATTATAGAGAATATCCGATTTCTTTCATCTGAATTAAATACATTTGGTTCTCAAAAATATTTCGTTAAGTGGAACATTTTGTTACATGCAAGTTTTGCCGTGCCTATGTAAATATTTATTATAACTTGATTCCGTATATGTACTGGATAATATTATTATGTAAATCGCGCGTGCGCATACGAGTTCCACACAGAGGCTATGATATAGGCACATATAATCTGCATAATTATATGTTATATTTTTATCATAATATTATCTTTGAAAAATTGTTTTCGATGAAAAACTTATCGACGGATGCAAACTCGTCACACACCTACACCGTCGAACGTCACGTCTATTTTAGCTCCCACTCACGACATTTAAAAAATATTGTCATTATTTATATACTTTTCGGTAGCTGCAAGCCTGCAGGTGGTTTCACTAATATATTATAGCTACTTGTACATAGGTATATAATAATAACGTGATATCATTCGGTGATGGAGACGAGACACGCATGCGCGTATAAATCGTCGTGATGAGTAGGTACGATGCTTTCCACGGTTGTATGGCTTCAGTCACGTGTGCTTCGCTGCGATACCATAAATACATATTATTATTTATTGTATAAAATAATAATATGACGTGTTAGGCATGCGGCGGTCGCGTTCATGTATTAATGGCGCGGTCGATTTACGAAGTTATTTGTTTTCCGGCCGATCCCCGGAAGCTGCGACGAATGCACTACCGACGGTACTCCATAATATTGTGTAGGTGTAAAATGTGTGTGTGTGTGTGTGTGTGTGTGTGTGTGTGTGCATAATGTGATGTGTACTCTGCTCGAAATGTTCCGCCTGCACTGATAAAATATATCGATGTGGGTAAAAAAAGAAATTCCTGAAAACGAAAAAAAAATCACCGACGCGTCGTTATCTCGTGATTTTTGTATCGTGCACCGATGGCAGGCTAGTAACATATAAGTAATGTTATTGTGCGGTGTGATATTATATTATGTAGTCGTGAATAGGTGCGTTGTATAGGTATATTGTATATTATGTATATATATATATATATGTGTGTAAACTTTTGTTTTAAAAAAAACCATTTTATTACTATACTTAGGTCCTAACCACACGTATTTTGTACCTATATCATAATATATACAAGTAAACGTGTAATAGTGTAATTTATAAGTTCATAGATCCTACACATACTGACATACATGTTGTGCATACACATGTAGGTAAGTACGTCATGTCGTACCTACAACTCGCGGTATTTAATAAAGTATACTATGCACTCCACACAATAGACATGCACATTCTGTTATCACGAATCAGTCATTTTAGATTCTGAGTGAAACGATGAATGTATTGATTTTACAATGATGTGTGTTTATTTATTTTTTTTTTTTTTTGTGTCTGTGTACACGATAAGTAGTCGAAATAATGCTTCGATTTTCAACTTCAGTATCTTGTTCGATTGGAAAGTGAATATCGTTGGTGCATTGGGGAGGTTAAACTTTAAAATTCCCAGTAGTTTTCAAGAGCGCCGGGAAAAACAACAAAAATTAAGGAAAAACGGGAATTTTTACGCAAAATCGATTTTTCAGAAAATTGAATTTGGTTTTTGGTGTAACTTTAAAACAAATGACCGTAGATACATGAAATTCTCATTGGTTGTTTATATTTGCATTTTCTATACACGATAACATTTTCAAAATATTTTGATTTATTTTGAACTGTTTAGGGACATTTTCATTTTTCATTTTTTTTTAGTTTTTTTTCTAGAAATATCAATAAAATTTTATTTGTTGGTTAAAAAAACTTGAAAATTTAATAGAAGGCTCCTAGTATATTGTTCCAAAGGCAGATGAAAAATATTAAAAATCGTTAGTCACAGTTTTTTTTTTATAAGCATTTAAAGTTCAAAAATTGACAAAATATGGAAAAATCACGAAAATTAGCAAATTATTTTGAGTTAAGAATTCGTAAAAATTTTTATTTTTAAATCTAAGATTTGAAAATGTAATACAATAGATTACTCATAAGTTTGTCTACCTTTATTAATAAAAAAATCTCTACCAGACAGTCAAATTAATTTTTTATGAGCGTTTGAAATTCAAATTTTTACAACATTGGATGTTCACTCGATTGCTCATGTAGCGATTTCCTTATTTTGTTGTTATTCATAAACGAATAACTATAGATACATGAAAATTTCACTGAATGTTTATATTAGCATTTCCTATACACCATACAATTTTGAAAATATTTTGAATGCATTGATTATGAAAAATGTGAATGTTAACGTTTAAGTATAATCAAGATAGGAGCTTAACTTTAACTTTATCCTTAACTTTAACTTTTGAACAAATAAACTACGATAGACTCTATATACCCCACGAATATAAAATTTATATTATATTATTATGTTGGCTATAGTAAATAAACGTTTGTGTAAAAC